ATGACAAGCTAATCATCCCAAATACGTACTGTATTAAAATACTGTGCTATCTCTACATTTATCCATCAGAATTTAGAGCACAAATTACCAGTTACCTTTTTAACCTGACCAGAAGTCTAGAGGCTTTACCCAGCAGTTCAACAGCCTGACGCAGACGGTCTTCATTCTACAGACAGAAGAAAAAGTGGTGTGAATTAAAAGAAATTAAAATGAATGATTGTTTAAATGATGTTGTCAGCAGCTCGTTACCTCAAACACACCGGCTGCCTTCTGATACAGGTCGACAGCTTTCTCCAAGTTTATAGGCTCGATCAGTCTGAGGAGAAAAACATGTTTTAGTTTGTTCCAATGTTCCTCATTGATTAAACCAACAAGCCCACAAATAAGAAATGCATGAGTAACAACATACGTAGGAATTTTCAAACTATTCAGATATAATTAAGGTGCGTGTTGTGTTGACAGCTGACGGATTTAAGTTTCTAATGTGTGTGAAATACAAGCGGATGTTTTTACTTTCCAGCTCTGTCCAGAGCCATTGCAGCAGTGTCAGGAGTCCCGTTCTCCATGTACATCATACAGGCTTTCTCTATGTACTGGATGGCCTCAGGCATCTTCTTTTGTTCCTGTAGCAGAGCAAACACAATTCTGTTGCAGACACATTTCCACTATGTAAATAGCACAGTCACACATATTCAAAGCTGCAAATTTACTTCACCACGCGAACTTATCGCTCGCACAGAACGGAAGTGAAGGTTCATCATGGCTACATGTGTGTGTGTGTGTGAGACCGTGACCAACATGTTATTGACAACGATAACTGAAGCGGTCCTCACCTTCATCATCATACCAGCCTGCTCGATCGCCCTGAGGAGGAAGAAGAGGAGTCAGAATAAGGCTAATTGTTGTTATACACTATATGGACAAAGGTATTGGGACACGGGAGTGTTTATGACATCCCATTCTAAATCTATGAGCATTAAGAAGGAGTTGGTCCCCCCTCTGCAGCTATAACAGCTTCCAATTTTCTGGGAAGGCTTTCTACAAGATTTGGGAGTGTGTCTGTGGGAATTTATGCCCAGTCATCCAGAGGAGCATTTGGCCGTAAACCCCGACATCTGGCTGCACTGCAGTTTACCCTGAGCCTCGAACACCTCACCCACCCCTCCATTAAGAGGTGTGTCCCAATATTTGTGTCCATGTAGGTTGAAATCACGATACTTACTTTGCAGCGTGAAAAAGGCTGATGTGTGAGTTAAGGGAAAGAGAAAACTGACTCAGACAACAACAACAACAACAACAGTGATTTATTGTCACGGGAGAGAGAACAGGGAGGATACGTCTTGTTTTCTGTGTGGTACTCGGCTTCCTTCAGGTACGCATCCTTCGCTTGGTCATACTGTTTGGCGTTCTTGAAGCACACAGCTGGAAACAGGACGCAGACAGCTTCAGAAACAGACAGCACACGTTGGGATATGTCTGTGTTTTGGACACAGTGTTGATTTATCACCTGCTTTGGCGTATTCTGACGCAGCGCTGTCGAAATCAGGCTTCCACTTCGTCAGACTTGTCTTCAAGCTGCACACATACAACGATCACACAAAAATAAACATATATA